TCTAATGTTATCGGGCGACAGTTCGATCGTAGAATCCTATAACGAAGGCCTTGCCGATTCCCTCTCGGCTCTTCCGAAGGTACGAGTATGACGCTCCCTCAAGTATCCAGTTACCGAACGATAACGAAAACGATCTTACGATATGGCTCTCGTGGAAGATTCCTGGAAGTCGTTGCAGAATGACATTCCGTGTATAGGTACCTGATGCATACGGTAAAGGTAGCGTATAGACGCACACGTTACTTTTACGAAAGTCTATAACGCTTGGTAATTCTCTTTCTCCTAGGCTCATCCTATACGGTTCGTACTCTGCACTCGTGTCTATCCGCTTGTTCAGCTATCTGGATACGTACCCCGCTAGCTAACGAGTAGTTCAATGCGCAACGCAACACGTGCCAAGATCGTTGCATCATTTGCTCGATTGCTCTCGTATATACGTATACGTATGCGGCTATAATTCATACGTTATTCAGTGGCTCGTTCTGCCGCAGTACCAGTCCTACTCCACCTCGCTTTCAAAGGTACCCATGTGCCCGAGTGCATGTACGCAAGTGCCAGAGGAAGAGACAAGATGGAGTTCAGACTTTCACCGTTGAGGGCAGAATTAAAAGAAGCTGTACGTACGGCGAGAAAACTTAGAAGCTGTTTACTTCGTATGGTTTATACGGATTTACAGGTACGTACGGTGAGACCCCCCTTTGCACGTATACCTACCGTGCCTGCGGATAGTTTGTGGGCTATTTGTACGGCTGGTGGATCTTATAGGTATACGTATAACGTTATCAGTTGGGTCGTGCGTGACACGTGTGGGACGATGAAAATCGATAGTATATAAAGTACCCTGAATAGTATGGGTATAACTGTTAAGGATTCATTGATAACTGGTAAGCTTGTACCTGTTGTGGAATTATAGATAAAAAAAAGGGGTAGGCAGATGTATAGGTATATGTATATCTATAGTGACAGGTAGAACGACGAATTTATTTAACCGGTTTTACAAACGAGACAGCCAGAACAGCCTAATTGAATAATTCTCATTAGAAGGGGAGAATATAGGCGGTGGAGGGAGAGCCGCGAACAACGCGCCCTTAAGTGGCGACCATCCGGTAATTCCGTGCGGGGGAAAAAGGGCCCGCTCTCTCTGTCCCTTTGGGTAAAAAATTAATCGTTCGAGTTATCGGTGAGGACGCCCGGTAGAAATGGTCTTGGAGTTATTTTAACGAATGTAATTACTCGCGGTATCCACACACTGTATACGCGCACACGTGTATAGATATACAACGCGAAAGGAACGAAGGATATTAATATATCTATATAGTGCGATATTTTTCTGCACCGTCGGGGGTGATCTGCCAATTTCTTAACATCGCCCACTGCGATTCGATCAGCAACGTATTACTTACGTACGATATCGTTGACGTGAAACAAATTTCCTACGTTGCCATGAAATATGCCAGTTCGCAATTGCTTTACGTCCAGCGCCATTATTATCTTGGAACGAGTTGGGTTTGGTCTTTAATTTCTTTCATGGTTAAACATTTTTTTTATATTTAGGTATCATCGACAGATACGAAAAAAAGAGTCTGGTGCGTCTGTCCTGGTAGGAGTATAAGAATGGGAAAATATTTATTTGTCGCTTCTATTGCCAAATTAGGATGCGTTCCATGTTTGCAAATCTGAACTGGATACTGTGGAACAGTGACGTGGAAGTAACGTATGAGGTTTCTGAAATCGTGACTGCGCAGTGCAGTAGCTCTCTCACTCACTAGACATTAGGTAAATCGGTGTATGTATATATATATATATATATCCGTAACACGTATGTAGAAGTATGTTGGTACGTAGGCTGGTAATAATGCACCCATAAATCAAGAGAGGCATTGTCTTCCTTATTGAATGCGTCAACCAGGCGCACGGCAGCCGCATGGGCCAATAGGGTATACTGTATTCTTGCTTCTCTGTAGCCAGTAGGTAGATAGGTAGGGTACTCTATCGGAAATTAAGTCAATTTAAATCTAATTGGATATCTTGCGAAAAGCTTATCGTGACGGCAACTTGCCGCTCACTTCACTGGACGATCATTAAGCGTTACTTTTATTCACGGCTGGGCAATTCCGTATGGACCGGCTTATGGGATTGTGCGAATATTTACATTATTTCTTTTATAAATTAATAAGGTTGTTCCGATCCCCCTACCCAACGTGCACCGAGACAGCGGGTAACCTGTATCCTGTTGAAGAGGTAAATTTCTTTTAAGCGGTCTGCTCATACTTTTTTACGCTCATCGTAAAGATATAGAACGTTATATTCATGGAGTTTTGTAAGAGACGGTTTAATAAGGATTTTCTTACGATCTTTAAACGATCTTGTTACTTACAAAAAAACTGCAGGATGCAGATTTAATATTCGGCTTAATTGAGTTGTTAACGAAATATTATGTCCGTAGCGAGACAGTTTGCGGTATAATATCGATCAAATTTTTTTTTATCGATCGCGGCTTATCATCAAAAGGAATAAACTTTAAATTGCCAGCACTTATTCAGTCGCTTAACAGACGATGCACTTTAATCGATATATTTGTTTCGGTTAAATGTTTTTACTCGATTTTGTATTGGACGGTGAGACGTAAACCGTTCCCATTGTTTCGTTTGATCATCTATCCATCGATGCTCCGGGAATACTCTGAAGACGTCAATGAAATGAAAACATGGTAAATGCCTGGGAATAATGCAAATAATTGTCTATACGTTTTATAAAAAGTAGAACACGCAAAGCTGTTAGATCTGATATCAAAAAATTCTTCGTTTTTGTTCCAGAAAAATTTTTTTTTACAAATAATTCATTACCCATTCTATGAGGATAAATGCCTTATATAGAAACTGTCAAAGTTCTCAAATATTATGTTGACATGAAATTTGGCGCGAAAATAAAAAATGTATTGTTTACAAACATGGCACACGTGTTCTACTTTGTATGACATATATATTGGTTATCGAACGCAATTTCACAGTTCAGCTTAAACAGCTACCGCCTTTCTAATCGGTCCCTTAGTAATGGACATATAATAAGTTCATTTGCGCAATTAATATTATAAATATTCTGCAAATACGAGACTTACGTAAGTCGACTACTTACGTCTGCCAGTGGCGTGTGGAAAACGTGTCTAACGTAGAGAACGTACATAAGTACTGTCAGTGTCAGGAAAAGGTAAAGTAATTTCTCTCGTATACCGATACTTACCGTACATATTAAGTCATTTCTCAAACTTCATAATTGGCACAAGCAGACTTAATTCTGGGATTTTGTAAATTAATTTTTTCCCCTATCTTCACTCGCTAAACAGTTCGATGCTTGTCAAGAACTTAGAAATTGATTTTTAACAGACACTTTTTTTCTCGACCATCGTCAAAACGGTATATCGACTTGATACAAAAATTCTCGATGTAACGTATACGCATACATGTATATCTACATTCGGCCGAGTTCCCTTTCTACGCAGCATTTCTAAAGGAGCCGATTCAATTTCAAATGCAATCTCGGCATATTACGGAAAATAGGAGAAATCTTAGCGAAAGTAAACGTAACATCGCACTGGCCACTGGAACGCTGCGTAATAATGTAACATATATATAATAATACGCTAATAATGCCGACGTCGTCTCTTGCCAGAATAAGAATATGTAATCACATAATTAAGGAACGCAATATATTTCCTTTCCATCCAATATTAACTCGTTTATGTAAAATTCCAATGACAGTTCACACGCTTTTCGAAATTCTCACGCATATTTCATTACTTGTACGTATATGCTTATCGTTATCATATAACACTTGTATACATGCATATACACCCCATACAGTTCCGGCTCCTTTCTTTAAATAATTAATCTATTACCCGATTCCCATATGGGTGGTCTCTCTACGAACGTATCCTGTACACACAGTGCAAAAAGCATATGTAATTATTATACGTCGTCCCCGGTGTATGCCTCTACGTAATTGTTTTAACGTTTTAATAACTGCGCTCGCGTGCTCGCCAGTACCGGTATAATAAAAGGGAAGAAGACTGTGCCTAATGTCCGGCACTGTAAACTGTGAGCATTGCTGGTTCATCACTGGTACCATATATGTATATCTATATAGATGTACCGTTAAATAAGAACTGACTCTTTTGTACGTACAGCGATGAGAAATATCTCTGATATTTACCTGCGGTGTACATTTCTATTTGTCTATGACTATACGAGCTCTTTGCGATACCTCGATAACCGAATGACAATATATCGCGTAACACGTATAGGTACGTCATACCAAGCAGAAATGCATTTGCTATTACACCAAAGTTTGATCGTTATCAGTCGATACCTTCGGTTTATGACAACATTGGTTAGCGCCCGTTATATTAACTGGAATCGGCATCACAATGCGCCATATGCACCGACAGCTATGAATCACAATCTCCTTTCGATCTGGTGCGCGGATCTAGAAATGAGCTTTGATATATCTCACGGGATAGGGAATGGTTTTGCGGGACAAACCAAGGAGTATTATAAGTACCCGTGCGAGTCAGGAAACTCGCTGTAGTTTCGCATTGAGTATGTAAATGGTATTAGGACACGTGTATGCACGCGTAAGATAGATCGTATCTTGGGGTAAAAAAGATTTTATGAAATTTTGAAAAATATTAATTTATACTCAACGTATCTGGAGATACGTATGAGAGTGATTTTTTTTTTGTCAAATCTTAACACGTATGGACGTCTCCGACGTAACTTCGTATTCCTCGAAGTTTTATCTCACGAAGGACATTCCCAACCAATTATTACACTCGGATAAAAGACAATCACACGTATACGATACCCTAAGAATTTTCTCACGCAATATGCTTTGGAAATCACACGATTGTATTACACGCCGTTTACACCTGTCCAAGGTGACCACGTCCTTGTTGCAGGGTATCTCGTACCTTCTAATTGTCTAACCGTACCTTTTGTTTCCAGGAGGAGAGCGAGCTCTCGAGCAAGTGGTGGGCCAGCGCGCCCCGCCGCCCTGACAGCCCCTGCGTCCTGGGGGCTCCAACGTCTAGGGAGGTACGTCAAAGAATTAATGAATTTTCTCAATTACATATCACACTCGAATTATCATGTTGAAATTTTTCGATTTTATGTACCTCGAAATTTTATAGGTCAGAAAATTCAATTCCCCACTAGGTCACGTATCCCTATAGCCTATATCCTCTGTAGCCTAGGGAAAGGTTAAGCGTGACATTCTAGCTAGGATGGAGAAACTCGATCGATTCTCGAGTACGTGACGGCACCCGAATCGCAAGCCTGACTGGGTAGTTCGACATGTTCGTCCTGATGCGACGTACTAATAGGGAGCGACGTTGGCAAGAAGCTCAGCTGCGGCGTGTTGGCATGTCGACACCGGGTAGTCGATTAGTGCGACTCGCTTGAAGGTGTCGATTTAGAATGGTGATCGTACGAGGTTCGCGACGATCCAGTCCCTCTTGGTACGTCACCTCGAAATCCTTGAGCGACAGATGATTTTCTTTTGTCGATCCTCGGTTCGAGTTCTTTTGATCACGGTGTGCTGCCTTCGATATGTGTCTCAGCGGGATAACTTTTCTTTCTGGGCCACGAGGAAGTATGCTGTGCGTGTAGTTCATTGTCGGTACTGACTCATTGTCTCTCTGTCTATTCCAAGGGTGCATCCGTGTACTACTGGTGTCGGATCTTCCTTCTTACGGCAGTTTCTTCGCGGTACGTTCCTTGGGGCTTATCTAGGATTTACCTACGTAGCGCCACCCACAGGGTCAAGCGAGATGATGGGTGCGACTACGGTCGGTATTCGCTGTGCATATTACGTCGTGCAACGACGCGAGGAATACGAGACTCTGAGCAGTCTGAGCAATGGCATAGGCTATTTCCTTCTGTATACTTTTAGACTTTTGACACGTGGTTCGAACGGCCGGTGAATTTTTCTGTGGCCGACGCGATTTCATAGGGATGCTAAAGAGAGTTAACGGTTTAGGTAAATTATAGAGAAAAAGTGATTTATTGATAAGAAAATAGTATTATCAGGTAATAGTATGTATATGGATTTTGAATAGAGATTTTTATGGCGGTAGCATTGCGTATGTGAATATTATATTAAATATTTAGTTTAGATGAAATTTCGAAAATTTTTTCCCAATTATTACGATTTTACAGCGATAAACCGTAAAGGGATACGTAGCGTGTAAAGAGATGGGCTATCGGTGTATATATATGTTTGAGAGTTGTAGATACTAAAATGCTTATCGAGTAACCAGTACCTTCCATCAGACCGACAGGGTCTAGCTTTTGCATCATAAGGTTGGCTGTATGCGGTCTAGTATCGAGGGCCTTAATGTCTATGCATCCGCAGCGGCATCAGGTACGGTGCAATTCCGTTACGTACCTACGGGCTTCCCACGCCAATTAAACATGACTCATTAACGGGCAGCAGCGGTAGTTGGGATCGATGCCTGACCGAGCACTCGACCCTTCTATAACTCTCCGCGGAAGCAATCGGAACTAATCTCGACCATCCACTCCGGCTGTTCGCAGACTGATACTACAGGTACCCTAGATCCTTTGATTCAGCATTCGATCATTCTTTTTAAATACGACCAAGCATTCCTCATAGAAGTTTCATTCTTACGTTGTATATTTTTCGTAGAAATCATTTTATGATTTTTCCTTTTTTTTATATTAGATCAATATCGTGACCTCGAATGAGTCTTATTGTTTTCGATTGAATTTTAAATAACAAGCGTTATCCAATCCGTGGAAAGAATTCTGGGCAAATGATATTTGCATCTGTTTTACAATTACGAAATTGTATAGATGCCTGAGAACGTGACAATTCCAACCGTAATAAAGCAGTCGGATTTATGATCGAACCTTTGCAGAAGTTCCAGCCTAGACTAACCTTATATTAGAAGGTGTAACGGGACTGTAAAGTCGAGAACAATACGAACGTGTCTCGTCTTCGGCAGGCTATATGTATATACATCGGGTATAGCTTAGCTATGCAGAGTAGACGCGAAACCTGCTAGAATCTTAGGGCAGGTCTGGAAGAGCTTGGAAGAGTGAGAAGAGTCAGAAAGAGCCGACGTCGGTCCCCTGTACCCAGAGACCGACCGGTTAAATTATTGCACAGCCACTTCGCGATTGCTTCCGATAGTTGGAATTCCGACTCGCCTCGAATTCAAACGTCGCGATTTGCTTTGGCAGTCATGGAATCCTCTCGCGGCTGCTGCCTGACTTCGTTCACGATCAGACTGGACTCCGGGGTGTCCGTTACAGGCCGGCATTTAGACAGACTGTGGGAGCAGAGCGTAGCAACACAGAACTCTAAGGACTCTCGGCACTCACCAATTACACAGATTAGAGAGACGCTTAAGCGTCAGTCCCAAGATAATTATACGCAGTGCCTGAACTATCTTTAAATTTGCAAGAGCTTCGATGAGTCCTCAATCAGAGTCCATTGCTACCGAATTCCCCCAGTTTGCGTTGCAGTCCCATTGCGAACTGTAAAAATTGAGTATCGTGCAATTTTTTCATACTCTATTTCGCATAAGATCAGAGTGACGGATCTTTCTAAAATATCTTTACGATCGTCGCTCGACATGACCGAGTTCCGGTCAAAGTACGTTTCGCTGCGTGAAGTGGCGTTCTGCTAGTTTACAACGTGGGCTGGGCCCGCTGAAGTGGACACTCCCGGATCTCAAAGGTGTCGTCACCACTCGCGCACGGTGCGCTCTTCTCCGAATTACGTAAGCAAGAGTACCACAGGCTATACCGCACCTTCGTCACGAACAACATCACTGCGTTCTATATCGGAGACGCGGGACGCAGAACGCGCATCTGCTGGCCATTCAAGCCTTTTGTTTTTCCCGCGTGGGCGTACGGGGGAATCTATTGTTGCCTGCCTCCAGCGAGCTGGACTACTCGCGCTGTATCTGAAGCGAAGTGGACGATGATGCCGGAGACTCCAGAGACGTGCGCATTGTGATAGCAGCATGGTACTTGAAGTACGTCGTGTCCTCCATCCAGTATGCAAACGCATTGAGCTTGTTGCTCCTACTATAGGTTACTGCCTTTGACGATAATCGCGTACGGGGATACTCGAGCGGGAATTGTGTGCTTTCTTTTTTCGATACCTACGACTTATTATTGTTTTATATCGAATGCATTTTAACGCTTAAAACTTTTTGCGTAGTTTGATTATTTCTTTCTTTCTTGACCCATCAGCATTTTTCATGAGTCGCTGGGTCTGCGTTAACGTCTACGAATTTACATGTCGACAAGCAGACGACCTGAACGCGCATCGCATGCCGCTCGAGGTGTGGCCAGACACTCGAGTATTCCAACTTCTAACAGCGATATCCTAGGAGAAGTCAGCGTTGGGCACGTTGGAACGAGGCGCGTCTTCGATTGTGCTTTGGAATTGCTTTGTCGATGGCGCGAAGGGGGG